CATGACTGCAAGGATGTTTTACATATGGAAGGAGCCTTTGACTAAATCTGCTGGCATTCTACTGCATTTCCCTCAACAGCCTTTCCACGTGTTGAGGGCTCTCACACTTCCTGTGGTAGAAACTATCTAGGAATAGCAAGCAGGCCGCCTGCCTCCTCTTCCTTTAGATGTAGAATTTAGTTGCCAGAGGAAACTGAACCAGGTGGTGCCTTTTTAAAGGACATGTTTTAATTCTTGTTTTTTCTCAGTCAGATACATTCTAAGGCGTTACATTCTAAGGAGCCGAGTGACTGGGAAATCATGGTTTCTTTTTGCAAGTAACTCTGCATATGCAAACACTCACTATTTTTTTGGCCACTGCTGGTAGTGGGAAGAATTGCAATATAATTTTAAATTGACATGTGGGCTGGATGGTTACATCAGTTCAGCCACTTCCTGCCCAGGGGAATTTGGGAGATCCAGAAGAAGGAGGGATGTAGGTGGAAGGGGATTTTCTGACATGGTTCTATCAACGTCCTTTACAGATACAGTTTGGTTAGTTGCTTTTCATTTTCTAGGCAACATGATTATTTTAATAAAGTAGAAGCAGCAGCAGCTCTCCTAATGGAAAGGCTCTCATCACCTAGTAAACTCAAATGATACTGAGACAAAAATTCTGATCCCGTTTATTGATTATTTCATTAGGTAAGTTTTTGGCAACAGAATTTTAAAGTTATGTGTGAATAATTGGCAGAAACCTACACCCAAGGCCTCCTCTTGCCACTAGTTTAGATTAGCAGCATGTCTTTTCTTATCTCAATTTATGAGTTGGCCTCTTCTCTCCTGGCCCAGAATATTTAGATCTTATACACTCCAGTACCCTATGTCAAAAGGATATTTTAGGAAAATAACCTAGGGTGGGTCTTTGTGCCCTCTGGTGAAAAGATCTGTTAAATGAGTCATATTTTGCCTCCCTAAGTCCCCCACCCCCCCCAAAAAAAAAAAAAAACCTAATTGGACAGTGTCAGTTAATAACTGTACGTAGTTCCTTCTCCCAAGCTCACTATGCATGTTTTTTTTTTTTGAACAGGGATACCATTTTTATGCACTGACCGTGTTATTCCCTATCTATCCCTCTAAGCACTCAGACTGTGAAAGATGTTCTAGGGTAGGATAAAGCTAATTTTGAGAAAAATACCAATTTTCATCAGAAATGGAAACTGGAAGTGGAATTAGGGACACGTAAACAAGGGAGATTTAACTGTTGAAATATTTTAGTTCATCACCTGAACGGTGGGATGTGAGTATACCTTTTGGTATATCTTTAATACTTTATGATAAATAAAAGCAGCAAAAAATTGAAGTGGGACATGTAATAATGTTTATCAGTTAAAAAGGAAAATTAATTTCAGGACGATCCTTTGGGGTTAATTGTGTAATTAAATGTGGAACTATTTAACAGAATGGACTACATTGCCCATCCCTCTGCCCCCAATTTCAAGAAAAGTTTGCTGCCCTTACTGCCAGAGTTCAGCTCTCAGGACAATGTAGTTTATCACAAAAGAAGGTTACATTTCATCAGTGGAGCCAAAGGTGATAAAATTAGAGTCTCGGAGAGGCACTTATTTTGTTTCTGATTGTCCCTGACTCTTTGCCTGGGTGGTACCCAATGGTTTTTCCCCTGCAGTTGGGTTTTTCAGGGGTCATTGGTCTCTTTCACAATCTCATAAAAAGGTTGTTACCATTTAAAGAGGCCACATCTTCCCAATCCTAGTTGCTCATACCTTTCCCATTGCCTTGGTAGGCTCTTTATAGGAGATAAGGTTTAAATGGTAAACATTATCTTAATCACAAGTGTGAATTTCTAAAGCACTTCAACTCTGTTCAGTATAAAAGAACACAGAAGAGGCAGAGATCTGCTTATAAACTACTTTAAAAAGCAGCAGATCTCATGACACCCTCTCAGTATGTCCAGATTACTTGCCTGCATATATGGATTTTAATTTTTTGTGGTTGATTGGAATACCTAACTATGTGCTCCTATGATTTTTTCAGCAATGTGATTTAGATGCAAGTGATGGAGCAAGCTTCTATCAATATTGTTGAATTTCTAGAGATTGGAATGCATTGCTTTTTGTTGTCTGAAAAGACATCCCTGTAAGACGATGTTGAATTTCTGGAGATTGGAATTCAAATGTCTTTTGTTTTCTAAAAATGCTGGAACAAAAAGCATTGGTCCTTTGGAGAAAATATCCTATAGTTCTTCACAGCTAAAGAGTTACCTACTGCAAGCCAAAACTTTTTCTTTTTCTCTTTTTGTTAGAGAAAAGGGAGAAACAGAAAGTTTAGATGCCAAGAATTCAGTAAAGTATTTTCTGGCCTAGTGTTTGTATTTAGTACAGATTTATCAAAATGTTATTTTTCTTGTGGTTAGTGTTATCACTAATGTCTATTTAAACAGTCTTTTTAAAAAGACTTTGACTCTAAATGTTGTGCTCTGTGTTCCCTTATTTATAGTGTGTGACCCTATAGTATGTTAGGTAAGAACAGAAACAAAAGAACTCTAACTCTTGCTTTGTGGGATACGGCACACTGTGGTGGTAGTATTCCGGAGTTGTAAACGGCCTTTATTTTTTTAGCCCATTTATTAAACACCTATTACATGCCAGCACTATGATAAGCTTTTACACACATCATTTTGTTTTATGCTCTTGATATTCTAATTAGGCCAGTACTGTTATATGTATTCTATTCAGTTATATGTAAGGAAGGAGCTCTGGTAGCATAGTGCGTAAGGCACTTTACTGCTAACCAGAAGGCTGGTGGTTCAAACCCACTAGCCACTCCTGGAAGGAAGGTTGGGCAATCTACTTCTGTAGTGATAATGCCTTGGGCAACCCAAGGAGGGGTCACTATGAGTCAGTCAGACTGGATGGCAATAACAACAACAACAACATACATAAGGAAACTGAGGTAGAGAGATACCAAGGAATTTGTCAGAGTCACCCAGCTGGAAATGTTTCCTGAGCTGCAAACTGAACCCAGGTCTGCCTGCTTTCAAAGTCCATCTTACCACACCCCACTTACATTCAGATGCCTTAGGCATAAAACCAGTAGTATTAGGCTTTCCTTGTAGTAGGTGTCCACTGAAACCTCAAACCTAGCTCATTTCAGATGAAGAAGTGTTGACTCAGTGAAGTTAAGTGGTTTGCTTAAAGACAATTGTTGGTGATCTCACATTCAAACTCAGGGCTTTCTGATTCTAGACCATCTCTAGCCACCAAACTAACCAGTGGGACCCCAAACTACCTGTATTAGTAAAACAAAAACAAAGGTTAAGGAAGATAAAGGGTTGTTGACATTTTATTTTGCCAAATAATACCAATAAATAAATAAATAAATAAATAAGCCTATCACAAGCCTTTCACAAAGTAAAGGACATTTTATTACTTTTTTAGAAAGGATATTTTAATGATAGAAACAGGATGACATTATTTCAGAATAAAAGAGAGAAGTTTAAAATGAATAAATTCAACTTTATGAAAAACTCTTTACATGCCATTTTTTTTCTCATTTTTCCCTAGACTTGAAAATTTGGTCACAGACCAGTTTTTGGTAACTATTTGCCTATACCATGCTTTCTCAATAACCAGTCTACTGTTAAAGAATCCTCAGCACACCTTGTTTTATGTTCGTGATTCTATGATCTTTAGAGAGACTATTGATAAATTACTATTGTTGGCTTTAGATTCTGTTTTCATCACACATTGTTCTTGCTCACAGCTTGGTCTTAGTTTGAGTCAGGGTGGGTTAATCTGAGGAGTTGCAAAGGCAACTGGTGATGGCCCTCAGTTAACCCCCTTTTATTTTCTTCTCTTCTCTTTCAAATAAAAGTTGCTTGCTTAGGGTGCTTTACTGTTCTAGTGATCTCATTTTCTTCTTATTTCCAATTTCCTTGCCTAGGCATTCATCATGAGGCTTTTGAGATCCTTGGTAGAAGGGATTTTAGAACCATCAGTCTTTGGATTAAGTCGGGTGAAAGAGAAAAGAGGGACATCATTTCTAGGTGTGGGCAGTACCAACCACAATGCTTTCCTTACACATAGTAGGTACTCAACAGATATTTGTTGGACCAATGAGTCTTATATGTAACCTAATCTGTCAAACCTAATCTCAAAATTTTACACTACATTTGTGTACATGTGAAAGCCCAAAATTTGTGGATTGTTAATTGGAATGTTGTATTATTATTGAATCACCAGGGAGTAGACTTTCTTGAATTATATAAGCCTCTTCTTCCTTTGCCTTTACTAGCATTACTATCGGACAGATAATACTTGTCTGTGTGGTGATGTGCTAAGGAAAGGGATTAAGAGATAATTCTTGAGGTATCCAAATTTGTAAAGATTGGGATTTAAGCTTTAAACTACATGTAACTACAGCCAAGTTGTGGTTTCTAATATAGAGAAATCCTCATGCTTACCTCATTCAAAGAACTTCATTAAATAAATCATCACAGTAATTAAAGGAACCTTAAATTGAATCTAAGGTTTAAACATTGCTTTAGAATTTTTAGGACGTCTGGTAGCATAGTGCCTAAGGCATTTGACTGCTAACCAGTAGGCTGGCAGTTCAAACCCACTAGCCACTCCTCGGAAGTAAGGTTGGGCAATCTACTTCCGTAGTGATATTGCCTTGGAAACCCAAGGAGGGGTCACTATGAGTCGAGTCCGACTCCAAGGCAGTGTGTTAGTATTTTTATGTCTACTTTATTTTTATTTTGCATTAAACATTCTCCATTTCCTGATTTTAATGAACAATTTCCAGTAAATATTTTATTTCAAATGGAAGAATGAATAGGAAAAAGACTCACTTTCAATCTTTTGTTTGTTTGTTATTTCAGATCAACCTTGTGACTAAGCTCAACTGTGGAGCACCCAGATTCTTCTCAGAAGTGAGACTTTCCAAAGGACCAATGACTCTGTGTCCTGCGGCCTTTCATTTTTTCCTACTCTTTAGCTATGTCTCGATCCCGCCATGCAAGGCCTTCCAGATTAGTCAGGAGGGAAGATCTAAGCAAAAAGAAAAACAGCCAACTGAAGAAGACCTCCAAGCCAGCCAACAAAAATGTGGCATCAGTCAAGACTGTGAGCCCTGGAAAATTAAAGCAATTAATTCAAGAAAGAGATGTTAAGAAAAAAACAGAACCCAAACCACCTATGCCAGTTAGAAGCCTTCTGACAAGAGCTGGAGCAGCACGGATGAACTTGGAAAGGACTGAGGTTCTTTTTCAGAATCCGGAGTCCTTAACTTGCAATGGATTTACAATGGCTCTCAGAAGCACCTCTCTTAGCAGGCGACTCTCCCAGCCCCCACTGGTCACAGCCAAACCTAAGAAAATTCCACCTTCTAAGAATGTGGAAAAGCAACATGAGTGTGAGTATAAGGTGCTCACTGATGTGGGAGTAAGGCACTCAGAAAATCAGTCAGACCCCATACAAGACCCCTTAATCCCTCCTGACATAGAAAATCTAATTGGTATACAAAATTCATCTTTAATTAAAGGTGAGAGCCAAAAGACAACCCAGTTTTGGTCCCAAAGTGTTGAAGATGCTAAAATAAATATTCCCACTTACAGCGGCCCTGCAGCAGAGATCCATTCTCAGTTATTGGAAGGCACACATGGTGAAGGGCTATTCTCTGAAGAGACATTAAATGATATCAATGATTACAATAGAATGTTTGCTCAGGACACTGAGCGTGCTACTTTGCCCCAAAGAGCAATCTCCAAGGTTACCTCTGAAAGAAACCCCAGCGTTCAGTTAGAAGATTTGGGTTTGCGAGTAGAATCTCTTAAGCTATCTGATTCTTACTTGGATCCTGTCAAAAGTGAACATGATTGCTATCCCACCTCTAGCTTTAATAAGGTCATACCTGAATTGAACCTTAAAAACTGTTTGTCTATTGGTGGGTCTGTATATCCTACCTCTTTAATAAAACTCCTCTTGGCAGGCTCAGAACAAGAAACCATTGGTGCTAACTCAGATCAAGATACCCTCAAAATTACCCTAGATCAACAGGAAGTTTCTGGTGCTACTCCAGATCAAAAAATTTCTGATACCAGCCCTGTCCTAGGAGAGGCCTTCAGTGCTACCCCACATCAATGGGAAATTCCTGGTGCTAACCCAGTTTGTGGCGAGGCCCTAGGTGAGACCTCAAACCTACCAGAGATTCCTGGTGCTTTTCCAGTCCAAGGAGAGGTCTTTGGTGCCATGCTAAACCAACAAGAAACCCTTGGTGTGAGTGGTGGTGCTGTCCCAGACCTGCCTATTTTCCTTGCTGCTCCTCCAGACCCAATTGCCACCTATCATGTTGCCCCAGAATTGCCTGAGCCCCAGAGCACTGCTTCTTATGGGCTTGAGGCCCAGGGTGCTTTGCAGATTTTGCCTTTGGGTTGCTTAGGTTACATTCCTCAGTCATCATCAAACTCAGAGAAAAGTTCGGTACTTCCAGCAATGACCATAAGCAATAAAGAAAATGAGAAGCAGGTTCATATCAGCTTTTTACCAGTTTATACTCAGAGGTTCACATTAGCCCCTGAGAGAGGACTATACCAGGCTTCGCTGAGTGTTGCTCAACTCTCCCAGCCCAGTCCCAGCAAATCAGTAGGAGGAAGTTCCCAGGTCCACGTCACCAGTACAGTTGATGTTGTCAACCCTGCAATAGTGTCTATGTCAGTGTCACTTGCTAGTACCTCTCCTTCCTACACAACCTTGCTACCTACTTTGGAAAAAAAGAAACGAAAGCGATGTGGAGTCTGTGAGCCTTGCCAGCAGAAGACCAACTGTGGTGAATGTACTTACTGTAAGAATAGAAAGAATAGCCATCAGATCTGTAAGAAGAGGAAATGTGAAGAACTGAAAAAGAAACCATCCGTCATTGTTCCTTTGGAGGTAGGTAAATAGCTAAGGGCTGGGAGATGAGATTTGATTTAGTAATCTTTGCAGAAAGAGTTTTCTTCAACACTACATCCTTTTTACCTTGGCAAAATGTTGCTGTATGTTATCTATAAGAATTTATGAACCTACTTGAAATATATCTCGTGCAGCGATGCATTAGCATATTTTTAGAATTTGTCCTAGAAAAGTAGAACATAAGAGTTTTTCCATTACAAGGTTTGATGGAGACATAGGGAAATTACATGAAATGTGGTTTTGCAAAGATTTGCACTATGCTGCATTTTGGCTAGTTGTGTGGCTCTTTTTAGAAATTAAAGATTTAAAAATTGAGGATGAAACAAATTCATTAACTCCTTAATAGCCTGCAAACCCAGAGGAGTTAAACTTCTTTCCTTTTGAAAGAATAAAATTGTTTGCACCCGTAAACTTGAAACTTTATCCTGGAACCATATAGTAGTACAGCTTTTGCCTCAAATGTTGATGGGCAACTGTCTACCTGCTCTACGTATCTTACCACATTTTTGGAATGAAATGATAATCAGAAAGTGAAAACAGTTTGTGAACTCTTCAGTTATATACAATTAGCTCTTATTATAACTTAAAATCTTACAGTAATGTAAGTTCAGAATTCATTTAGGATTTTGAGGACTTTGGTTAAAACTCAAACTCTTGCTTTTCAGTCCTTTAAGACATCTGCCAGATATGGTGTTTATGATTTTTAGATAACTCATTTATGATTGTATTTGGTCTATGTCTATCATGAACAGTGTTGGACTACCCAATCAGCAAGGTAAGCATGGGCTTATTTTTGCTTCTCAATTAATCTGTAATGAACAGTTTCACATTTTTTCACCACATCAAAGATCTATGTGAAATTGTTCACTACAGATTAGTAAATAAACACAAGTAAGCCCATGCTTACCTTGCTGATTGGGTAATCCACCCAGACTACGAGTATACATAGTTGTTGTTATATACTGTCGAGTCGGCCTCGAGTCATAGCGACCCCTCCTTGGGTTTCCAAGGCAGGATCACTACAGAAGTAGGATTGCCCAACCTTCCTTCCAAAGAGTGGCTGGTGGGTTTGAACCGCCAGCCTTCTGGTTAGCAGTCAAGTGCCTTAGGCACTATGCTACCAGAGCTCCTGAGTATATGTAGAGTGGAACAGATTGACTAAAAAGTATTGTGAACTTTAATTCAGTCACCCTTTTGTATTTTATTCTTGACTTAAATTATCTGTCCAAAAATGCTTTGACTTTTCCATTGATTGAGCCATTGCAAACAAGACTCCAGGCATTTTAGCAGTCTTCAATGATGGGTCTTTAAGTTGTTTCTAAAATATTTGTTATTACATACCTTACTGCAACGCATCATTTTCTTTAACTCAAGTCATTCCACACATGTAGAAGTAGGTCAAAATGTGACAGTTACTAAATGGTTTTAAAAAAGCAATTGCTATCAAGTTGACTCCAACTCATGGTGACCAAATAAATGTGTCTGAGTAGAACTGTGATCCATAGAGCTTTTAATGGCTAATTTTTCAGAAGTAGAGCAACAGGTTTTTCTTCTAAGGTGCCTCTGGGTGGACTCAAGTCTCTAGCCTTTTGATTAGCAGCAGGGTGCTAACCAGTTTGCACCATCTGTTGTTGTTATGTGCTGTGGAGTAGACCCAACTCATAGGCAACTCATAGCAACCCCTCCTTGGGTTTCTGAGGCAATATCACTACGGAAGTAGATTGCCCAACTTTCCTTCCAAGGACTACTACCTAACTCTCAGAGATATAAGCATATTTGTTTTCTTCTCTTCCAGACTTGCTCCCCCCACCCCTTCTTTTTTGTAGTGAAAATATACACAACAAAACATACACCAATTCAGTAATTTCTACCTGTATAATTCAGTGACATTGGTAACATTCACTCCTCCTCTTGCTGTAAATATTTGGTTCAGTGACTTAACTAAATAAACAAAAACAAGCCAAACTTACTGCAGTCAAGTTGGTCCGACTCATAGTTTTGATCCGACTCATAGTCTTTGGGTTTCTGAGGTAGTATCTCTACAGAAGTAGATTGCCCAGTCTTCCTTCCCAGGAGTGGCTGGTGGGTTTGAACTGCCAGCCTTCTGGTTAGTAACCAAATGCCTTAGGCACTATGCCACTAGAGCTTTCTATAGCCACCCAAAAAGATAATTCTGAGTAAGCTTTAATGCCTCTGTTTCTCACCCCTCTAAATTCTTTTATTGTGAGATCAGAGCTCTCCAACCTCTCCATTTTCTTGGCCACAGCTGTAATTGAGGCCTTTATCTCTCATTGGGACAATTTCTATGTATTCTTTATTAGCAACAAGTATTTATTGCACTTCTACTCTGGGCTATGTACTGTGGATATGGTCGAGAGTCTACCTCCCAGTAGGGAAGTCAAGATACTGAACAACAAGCTTTCCTTGGTGCAGTTCAAGTTTTCTTTCTGAAACCTTGATCCATTCCTCTAACTAAATACATTGAGTGCTTTTCTGTATGTATGCTATATCTCACTCAAAACAAAGTAAAGCAAAATAAATAAAGCAAAATTCTCAGTGTCTTCTGACTAACAACTGAAGCCTAGATTCATTAGCATGGAATATAAGACCTTCCAGATCTTGGCCAGCTGACCTCTGCCTCATTTGCTTTCATTTCTCTTCTGGATTTTATTATACTTGGGTTTTTATTACACTTAAGGTTTTAAGTGTTTCAGGCTATGAACATTTCCCAAGTTCATGCCTCAGTGTCCATGCTCACGTTACACATTTCCTCCTTTCCGCATCTTACAGAACTCCACTCACTCACTCCTCACTGTATTGTACCTACATATGTATGTGTTTACCATACCAAGTGATTTGTTTCTCTGGTGCCTAGTTGGCCTTGGCACAGTAATAGGTGCTCAAAAAATATTTGCTAGTTAAATGAAAAGAGAATGTATCTGTAATTCAAATAATCAGATTTATAAATTTAGATGTTGACTTGTGGTTTCTTCTCATAGCTCTGGCAAGCAAGTGTGGCCAATGTTGTCAAGTTTCATCAACGTGGGAAAAACAAGTGTTTGTTGATGGATGAATGAATACCTGGGCTGTGGAATAGAATATGCTAAATACCATATCCTTTAGTTAAAAATAAAAAACAAGCAAACTTTCATTTTGTCGTAATTTCAGACTTACAGAAGGGCTGCTAGTATAGAGTGTTCCTGTATAGCTTTCATCCAGATCGCCCAAGTGATAACATTTTATTATATTACTTCATTACTTTATCACTCTCTTTCCTTATTTATCTCTGCTTTTTTTTTTCTGAACAGTTGAGAGTAGTTTTACAGACATGACACTCCTTTACCCCTACATACTATAGAGTGCAGATTTCCTAAAAACAAGAATATTCTCACACTATTATGAAAATTAGGAAATTAACATTGATGGATATTATCTAATTCACAGACCTTATTCATATTTCACTATTTGTCTCTTTAAAAAGTCCCTTTAGCCTCATTTAATTTGGAATACTTCTTCAAAGTTTTAAAACAATTTTATTGAGATATAATTGATATACAATAAAATGCACATAATACAAGTGTACAATTTAATGAATTTGACATATGTATACACCTTGTAACTATTACCACAAAAATGTATCAGTCACCAAAATTTCTTTCTGCCCCTTGGCAATGCTTATCCCCTCCCTGTACCTCACTTATTTACTTTATATCCCCATAGATTAGCTTCCATTTAAATTGTTGAACTTTGGCTGGGGCCAGATGGTATCTCATTGTTGTTTTGATTTGCATCTCTCTAATGGCTAATGGGGGAGCTCTGGTGGGGTAGTGCCTAAGGCAACTGACTGCTAACCAGAAGGCTGGCAGTTCAAACCCACTGGCCACTCCTCAGAAGGAAGGTTGGGCAATCTACTTCTGTAGTGATACCGCCTCTGAAACCCAAAGAGGGGTCTCTATGGGTTGGAACTGGCTCGACGGCAGTGAGTTTGGGTTTTTTGGTAATGGCTAATGGTCCGGGGCTGACTCGATGGCATACAACAACAATGGTCATGAACATTTCTTCATATGTTTGTTGGCCGCCTAAATATCCTATTCGGTGAAGTGTCCATTCATGTCTTCTGAACATTTTTTATTGGATTATTCTTCTTTTTGTCGTTTCGGGGTGAGGATTTTCATAGGGTGTTTAACTGCTGATTTTTTAGAAGTAGATGTCCAGGCTTTTCTCCTGAAGGACCTCTGGATGAACTCAGACCTCCAACCTTTCAGTTCACCACCAAGTGGGTGAGCTGTTTGTACTACCCAGGGACTCCATTTTTCCCTTCTAAAAAACCCAAACTCACTGCCATCCAGTCCATTGTGACTCATAGCGAGCCCTCTGTGGGTTTCTGAGGTGGTATCACAACGGGAGTAGATCGCCCAACCTTCCTTTCAAGGAGTGGCTGGTGGGTTTGAACTTCCAGCCTTCTGGTTAGCAGTCAAGTGCCTTAGGCACTACACTACCAGAGCTCCTGTTGGAAGGTTAAGACTTTGTAAATATCCTCCTACCCTCTTAAACTTCCACTCCCTAGCTGTTATGGATTGAAATATATCCCCCCAAAATATGTGTTGTAAATCTAACCTCTAGATTTGTGACTATAATCCTGCTTGTGTATATAACCCTTTGGGAATGGTTTGTCTTTATTATGTTAATGAGACAGGATTCCTGTAGGGTTTATTTTGAGTCAGTCTCTTGAAACAAGTAAGCAGAGGCGAGATGGGGTAAAATACATGCCAGGTAAGCTAGAGGCTAAGACTCATGGAAATCCAGAAACCAGGAAGCAGAAGCTGGAGAGCCAAGTCCTCTAGAGCAGGGGCTCTGAATTCAGACTTCTGGCCTCCTGGGGTGTGAGAAAGGTAATTTGTTTCTTACAGCCATCCACTTACAGGCTGTTCTGTTCTGGCAGCACTAGACAATTAACCCACTAGTTTTAGCTTCATTGG